TTCCAACCCTCCCAGGTAATTGACTTGATCAAAATGCCTTGCATCAGAGAAGAGCTTGAGGCTCTCGCTCTAACAAGATTGACGTCACCCATCCAACGCCATCCCCCTCTACCCAGAGGATAAAACCCTCTACTCTCAGTTCCCCTTCCTAGAACCTACTCAGTGCCTGGCACAGGATAGACTGAGTGGGACAGGGCTGGGTTCCTGGGAGACAAGATGGCTTTAGGAGGCTCTAATAGCCAGGCACGGCTCTCAAATGCCTGATTGCCTTTCTAATCCTCATGGGAGCTTTCAGAAGTTGCTAGGCAGTCTCTGCTGGGTGCCACTATGACTTTAACACCTGTATCTCCACATCTGCTCATCTCCCAATTTAACAGAAGAAAACAGCCTCATGCTCAGACCATTAGCTGCTGTAGTAAGTAGCAGCTGATTTTTTTATTGTATTTATTTTTTTACTGTTATTTTTCTACTTACAACAAGCAACGCTGGTTTTCTGTTTACAATAGAGTTTAGGAAAGGTTCCTTTTAAAACAAATATATTTAACTTTTGAGAAAGGGACAAGTGGCCAGGCATGGTGGCTCACACCTATAATCCCAGCACTTCACTTCGGGAGGCTGAGGCAGGTGGATCACCTGAGGTCAGGGGTTCGACACTAGCCTGGCCAACATGGTGAAACCCTGTCTCTACTAAAAATACAAAAATTAGCCAGGCATGGTGATGCATCTCTATAGTCCCAGCTACTCGGGTGCAGGAGAATTATTTGAACCCAGGAGGTGGTGGAGGTTACAGTGAGCTGAGGTCATGACACAGCACTCCAGCCTGGGCGACAGAGTGAGACTCTGTCTCCAAATAAAACGAAAAGGAAAGGTTTAAAAATAAAGCACAACAGTACAGGGGTTAAGTGGACACGGTAGTGACTAATGAGGTTTTTGTTTCTTTAATCTGAACAGGGAAATCACCAGGAAAGTGGAAAGAACATGACATTGGCATCCACAGTACAGATGCACGCTCTCTGACAGCTTCCCTCCTTAAAACTAACAAGCCAGAGACTTGCTTTTTTCAGCTTCCTTTGCAGCTAAAAGTGGCCATGTGACCCAATTTTGATTTTTAAAAAATATTTAAGATCTTAAGGGCAAATAGGGAAGACTTCTAGGGAGGTTTTTGCTTTGCTATTAAAAGTTAGATGTGAGCCGGGCACAGTGGCCCACGCCTATAATCCCAACACTTTGGGAGGCCAAGGTGGACAGATCACCTAGTCAGCAGTTCAACAACAGCTTGGCCCACATGGTGAAACCCTGTCTCTACTAAAAATACAAATTTACCCAGGTGTGGTGGCAGACACCTATAGTCCCAGCTTCTCAGGAAGCTGAGGCAGGAGAACTGCTTGAACCCAGGAGGCAGAGGTTGCGGTGAGCTGACATCGCGCCATTACACTCCAGTCTGGCAACAGAGTGAAACTGTCTCAAAACAAACAAAAAAAAAAATCCAGGCAGATGCAGCTTGTGATACTGCCTCTCATTCCTACCTGGAACAAGGATATGATGCCTGGAGTCATGACAAACATCTTGGGACCAAGAGACCACAAGCCTGTTTAAGGATAGTGACACAGAAAATAACCTGATATATTATAGTTAAACCACTAATGTAACTCTGAACTGCTCTCCTCTCAATTTTTTATGTGAAAAACAATAAACTCTACCCACTTAAGCCATTGTTACTTTGAGTTTCTATTACATGCAGGCAAAAATAATCCTAATGGACACAGGGAGTTTGGTGCAAATGGATTCAGCGGGCAGATGTCTTCTAAGTGCACAGAGTGGCTGTGGTGGCTTTAACAGAGCCACTTCACTTCTCAAAAACCAGTTTCTTTATGAGTGAGATCAAAGACACCTACCTCAAATCTGAGGATGAAAGAAGATAGTGCGTGTAAAACATCTACCAGCAGACTCGGTACATAACGGGTCTCTACAAATGCGCAATGAATGTGCAAACAGAATATAAAGACTCGCAGATATATTTGTGAGTTGATGAAATTGCAGGGGTGCAGGAAGAGGGGAACTGTCTAGTTTAAGATCCAAAGCAGTAGCTTTCTAACGAAACAATCTGGGAGAGGCAGTAATTCAAGGGAATCCACCTTTTTTTTTTTTTTTTAAGACAGAATCTCACTCTGTCACCCAGGCAGCGGTACAGTGGCGCAATCTTGACTCACTGCAACCTCCGCCTGCCGGGTTCAAGCGATTCTCCTGCCTCAGCCTCCTGAGGAGTTGGGACTACAGGTGTGTGCCACAACTGGCTTTTTTTTTTTTTTTTTGAGACAGAGTTTTGCTCTTGTTACCCAGGCTGGAGCGCAATGGCACGATCTCTGCTCACTACAACCTCCGCCCCCTGGGTTCAGGCAATTCTCCTGCTTCAGCCTCCTGAGTAGCTGCGATTACAGGCACACGCCACTATGCCCAGCTAATTTTTTGTATTTTTAGTAGAGACGGGGTTTCACCATGTTGACCAGGATGGTCTCAATCTCTTGACCTCGTGATCCACCTGCCTCAGCCTATTTTTAGTAGAGACAAGGTTTTGCTGTGTTAGCCAGACTGGTTTCGATATCCTAACCTCATGATCCGCCCGCCTGGGCCTCCCAAAGTGCTGGGATTACAGGCATGAGCCACCGCGCCCGGCCCAGAAGTCTGCCTTTATCCACTGTTGAATCGTGTCATTTCACAGCTAGGGAGGGGGTGATGAGGGACAATTTGCTAAGTGGATGTTGTTCTACTGGGTAGATCTGGCCTGGGATCCATACAAGTCTGTCACCTGTACAGGTCTTGATTAAAAGTGGGGAAGGGGCCCAGGTGAGGTGGCTCATACCTGTAATTGCAGCACTTCGGGAGGCTGAGGTAGGAAGATCACCTGAGATCAGGAGTTCGAGACCAGCCTGACCAACATGGTGAAACCCCATCTCTACTAAAAACACAAAAAATTAGCCAAGTGTGGTGGCAGATGCCTGTAATCCCAGCTACTTGGGAGGCTGAGACAGGAGAATCACTTGAACCTGGGAGAGGCAGAGGTTGCAGTGAGGTGAGATTGTACCACTGCACTCCAGCCTGGGTGACAGAGTAAGACTCTGTCTCAAAAAACAAACAAAAAAAAATCTGGGGAAGGGAAGGTGCCAAGAAATATAAACACCAAACAACATCCCCTTAAGCCAGGAGGCAAGAAAAGCCTGAAGGGTAGTTGAGACTGAGCCCATGTCCTGGTGCTATGTCTTGGTTCCATCTCTGTCTGCAGCACACAGCACCCTCCCCTCCACTCCCCATTTCCGTTTCTGTGCCATCTACACCAATAAACCCAAAATGACAAAGTGACAGCTGACAGGTCCTCTCCTTGTTTCCCCAGGAGGATCTCTGAGCCTCCCACATCCTTCAGGCAACCGTCTGGCTCCTCCTCCTCCCACACCGAAGTCCAAGGCTCCATGAACCCATCAGGGCCTGGCACCACCAGCCTCGGGGCATGACAACAGGCCCATTCCCAGGCCTCCATCCAGCTGAAGAGACACACTTGCCCTAACCACAAAAAGGGAACTCAGTGAACCATTCCAAGTTTATTCGGCTGCACTGTCCTTAGATCCGTAAGTGCTGGGCCCTGGGAAAGTCTGGTATTAGTCATTATCATCCTTAAATCATTAACACTGATTTTGTGCCAGACAGCACATTAAATGAATCTCCCCATTTAACCCACCCTCTGAGGCTGGGTCTCATGATGAGGCCCATTTCATGAATAAGGACCACAAGGGAGGTGTAGCAAGTGGCCCATATGGTGGAGCCAGGGTTTGAACACAGGTGGCCTCAATCTAAATCCCACCCTGTTCATCTTCGAAGCATCAATAGTTGCTGTGTTGTCCGGGCGCGGTGGCTCAAGCCTGTAATCCCAGCACTTTGGGAGGCAGGTGGATGACGAGGTCAAGAGATCGAGACCATCCTGGTCAACATGGTGAAACCTCGTCTCTACTAAAAATACAAAAAATTAGCTGGGCATGGTGGCGTGTGCCTGTAATCCCAGCTACTCAGGAGGCTGAGGCAGGAGAATTGCCTGAACCCAGGAGGTGGAGGTTGTAGTGAGCCGAGATCGTACCATTGCACTCCAGCCCGGGTAACAAGAGTGAAACTCCATCTCAAAAAAAAAAAATAGTTGCTGTGTTATTAAGTGCTATCCAAGTGCCGGTGACATACCAAAGGCCCTACGTACATGTCTGTTAATACCCTCAATGACCCTCCTGGGGTTGATACTATTATTAACCCCATTTTACAGGGTGGTAAATTGAGGTTTGGAAAGGCAAAGTGATTTACAGTGGCCAACCACATAGTGAGCTGAGGCAGGGCAGACAAGCCCCAAAATTGCGGTTTGGCCTGGCAGGTTCTTGACTTTGTCCGGGAAAGAACTGGGGAGCCAATGGCGTTACTTTTGCTTTTTTTTGAGATGGAGTCTCGCACCGTCTCCCAGGCTGGAGTGCAGTGGCGCAATCCCAACTCACTGCAACCTCCACCTCCCCAGTTCAAGATATTCTCCTGCCTCAGCCTCCCGAGTAGCTGGGATTACAGGCACCTGCCACCACGCCTGGCTAATTTTTGTAATTTTAGTAGAGACGGGGTTTCACCATGTTGACCAGGCTGGTTGAAACTCCTGACCTCAGATGATCCACCCACCTCGGCCTCCCAAAGTGCTGGGATTACAGACATGAGCCACCACATCCGGCCAACCGCAACTTTTCTTGAAGCAGTAGGGTACAGCAGCAGAGCAGGGCTACCCCATAGGCAGTGCACCCAGAGTGGCAACTCAGAGGCAGTTCTGCAGTCATGTTTATACCCACTTTTAATTACATGCAAGTCAATGGGAAAATTATGCAGCAATTTCTAGAAAAGGAATGCTCACTTCCGGGTCATCAGGTAGTTGCCATGGAAAGGGGCCATAACAACTGTGTTGCCATGGTAACAATAAATATGCACTGGCAGACATGTCTTATGGAGAGGGGCTTTCGCCTGTTCCCTGTTTCAGGCTGGTCCAGAGTCTGAGCCCCACCTCCAGAGTCGAGTCCCGCCTCCTCCCTCAACACTAGCCGACCTTCTAACTCCAGGGTAGCACAGGTCCCACCCAGCTCAGAGCAGGTATTCTGGCAAGTTTTGGGGGCAGAACGTCCTTGTCCTTGAGGCATGGTCCGGTCCAGGAGGCAGGCATGGCCACAGATGGTGACCGCAGCAGTGTGGGGCTCAGAGGCATGAATAAAACCCACAGGAAGGAGAGACTGCAGTAAACAGAATTAATGCCTCCTAAAGATGTCTGTGTCCTAATCCCCAAAACCCACAGATACACTGCCTTCACAGGAAAAGGGACTTTGCAGATGTGATTAAGTTAAGGCTCTTGAGACAGGAAGATTATCCTGGATCCTCTGAGCCCAGTGTCACCATGAGGGTCCTTATAAGAGAAAGGCAGGAAAGGCAGAGTCAGAGAGGATGTAAGGACAGAAACAGGGATGTGAGGCCGAAATCCAAGGAATGACACAGCCTCCAGAAGCCAGAAGAGGCAAGGATTGGATTATCCCCAAGAGCCTCAGAAGGGACACACTCATGTCGACCGCCACAGCTGTAAAGTAAGAAATTTGTTTAAACTACTCATTTGTAAGAATCTGTTACAGCACCATAGGAAATGAATACAGAGCTTAACTTGGCTGGGGATAAAAGGGAGGGCTTCCCGAAGGAGGCAGTGTTGAGCTGAATAGCCACCTGAATAACCCTGAAGCCCACAGCTCGTGAAGTCAGCCCCCCAGGGCCACCAGACACCTCAATTCTCCCATTGCTAATTGTTAAGCATTTAACAGCATCAAGTCCTGGGAGGTAGGTCCTGGTACTGTACTTCCCATGTAGTTACTAAAATTTAAATATCAGTTCATTTAAAATGACATAAAGGCCAGGCGCAGTGGCTCATGCCTGTAATCCCAGCACTTTGGGAGGCTTAGGTGTGTGGATCACCTGAGGTCAGGAGTTTGAGACCAGTCTGGCCAACATGATGAAACCCCATCTCTACTGAAAATACAAAAAACTAGCCAGGCATGGTGGCGGACACCTGCAGTCCCAGCTAGTCGGGAGGCTGAGGCAGAAGAATCACTTGAACCTGGGAGGCGGAGTTTGCAGTGAGCCAAAATCATGCCATTGCACTCCATCCAGCCTGGGTGACGGAGGGAGACTGTGCCTCAGAAAAAGAAGAAAAAAGAGGGTGGACGTGGTGGCTCACGTCTGTAATCCCAGCACTTTGGGAGGCCGAGGCGGGTAGATCATGAACTCAGGAGACTGAGACCATCCTGGTCAACATGGTGAAACCCCATCTCTACCAAAAGTGCAAAAGTCAGCTGGGTGTGGTAGCGCACGCCTATAGTCCCAGCTACTGGAGAGGCTGAGGCAGGAGAATCACTTGAACCAGGGAGGCGGAGGTTGCAGTGAGCCGAGATCCTGCCACTGCACTCCAGCCTGGCACCTGGAGACAGAACAAGACTCTGTCTGAAAAAAAAAAAAAAAGAAAGAAGGCTGGGTCTGGGGTTGGACCATCAGCCCTGTGTCTTCCTGTTTTGAGAAGGCAGAGAATGCAGCTAGAAGATCTAACTTTTGAGCACCAAGATCTAAGTTTTCCCACCCAAGTGACTCTCTCTCTCTGAGCCTCAGTTTCACATCTGTATAATGGGGTAATACAGTGCTGTCCAGGAGAACTCTGCATGCTCTCCAGTGGGGTACCTAGCCTCGTGTGCCTGTGGAGTACTTGAACTGACACCTGTGCAACTAGAGCACTCAACTGCCAATTTTAAGAGTGTTTTTTTTCTTTTCTTTTCTTTTTTTTTGAGACGGAGTTTTGCTCTTGTTACCCAGGCTGGAGTGCAACGGCGTGATCTCGGCTCACCGCGACCTCCGCCTCCTGGGTTCAGGCAATTCTCCTGAGATTGTGCCACTGCACCCCAGCCCGGGTGACAAGAGCAAAACTCTGTCTCAAAAAAAAAAAAAAAAAAAATGAGTACAATCAAATCTTCTACGCTTTCAGCTAAAAGCTGTTACAAAGAGTTTGGGGGGAAGTAAAATAAATTAAAACTAAGTTTTAAATGTGTTCCCTGAAGGGCAGGGAAATGGGCAGATGGAGGAACAGAGATGGTAGAGAGAATTTTTAGTGTCCACACTTTGGTGTCTTCTCACTTTGAATCGAATGTATTAGCTAGCCAAATAAATAAAAGTTAAATGTAACACATTTAGAGGTACAATATGAACATGAAGAGCCCATTTCAGTTGGGCATGGTGGCTCACACTTGTCATCCCAGTGCTTCGGGAAGCCAAGACCTCACTTAAGGCCAGGAGTTCAAGACCAGCTTGGGCAACATAGTGAGACCCACCCCGCCATCTCTACAAAAAATACAGCAATTAGCCAGGCGTGCTGGTGTGCACCTGCAGACCCAGCTACTCGGGAGGCTCAGGTGGGAGGATCACTGGAGCCCAGGAGTTCAAGGCTACAGTGAGCTACAATAAAACCATTGTACCACAGCTTGAACAACAGAGTGAAACCCTGTCTCAAAAAAAAAAAAATCCTATTTTCCATTTTATATAGAGGCAGAAGGATGGGCGTATAAATTTGAATGTATGGATGCTGAAAGACTTAGAGGAACACGTGTGAAAATGTTTACAAAAATTATCTCCAAAAAAGGTAAGGCTATGGCTGATTTTGTGTAGTTATAAGTTTTTTTTTCTTTTTTTTTTTTTTTTTGAGACGGAGTTTCACTCTTGTCACCCAGGCTGGAGTGCAATGGCGTGATCTCGGCTCACCACAACCTCTGCCTCCTGGGTTCAGGCAATTCTCCTGTCTCAGCCTCCTGAGTAGCTGGGATTACAGGCACACACCACCATGCCCAGCTAATTTTTTGTATTTTTAGTAGAGACGAGGTTTCACCATGTTGACCAGGATGGTCTCAATCTCTTGACCTCATGATCTACCCGCCTCGGCCTCCCAAAGTGCTGGGATTACGGGCTTGAGCCACCGCGCCAAGCCCGTGTAGTTATAAGTTTTATGTAATGATAACAAGAGAAGTATTTGTATTTGGATATGTAGCCAGTTTCTATGTGAAATGCTTCACAGACAAAAAAATGATTTCTCCCAGCAACCTTGGAGGTATTTTACTCCCATCTTACAGATGAGGAAATTGAGACCCAGAGACACTAAGACCATGAAGCCCACTCTCTTGATTCCTTTGCTGTGTTGCCTTCTGATAAATGAATGTGTTTGTAGTAAGATGGGAAAAGAAAGTTTTTAAAAATGCCAAAGGGGCCGCACACACTGGCTCAGGCCTGTAATCCCAGCACTTTGGGAGGGCGCCGCAGGTGAATCACTTTGAGCTCAGGAGTTCGAGACCACCCTGGGCAACACAGCAAAACCTCATCTCTACAAAAATTAGCTGGGCGTGGGAGGCTTGTGCCTGTAGTCCCAACTACTCGGAAGGCTGAGACTGGAGAATCGCTTGATCCCCAGAAGGGGCAGTTGCAGTGAGCTGAGATGGCCTCACTGCACTCAAGCCTGGGCCACAAAGTGAGACCTTGTCTAAAAAAAAAAAGACCATGAATTTAAAACATAAAGTTCAACGGACTAAATTTTCAAACATACAAATGTCACAGCATCCAAATGTTTCTCAAGGAGTGTTCCGCAGCTGCCACTGGTGCCCAGCCCTTTGCCCTCAGCATTAACCTCTAGATGCAGAAGGGAACCTAAGAACATTGCAGTCTTCACCTCTAGAAGCGGAAGATGGCCCGAGGACATCTGCTGTTTTTCTGGCTAAAGGCTTGGTTTTTGGCTGTGGGAGCAGCTCGGGACAGAACTGCAGCCAATTAATGCCCCAGAGCAGCCCTCCACCAAAGATGAAGGAAGTTGGCGTATCAACACCCCAGCTCCCTCCCTCTGGGGAGAAGCCTGAGGTGTGTGGTTTTCGTAACACACCCTGTATGGCCTCTTGGCTTCCCTGTCTCACTTTCGATTCTCATCCAACAGTGCTGCTAGGGTCAGCTCCCGAAAAAGCCATTCAGGTTTCCATCCTTGCCTCTGGGCCTGCTTCTGGGGGAGCCCAACCTAAAACAGCTGAACATGCTTAGCTTCCCCTCCCCACAGGTTACCAATGGTTACCAGGAGCAACAACTCCTAAGTGGTTTTCTTCCTGGACCATTAAACCACAGCACCTCCGTGACAAATGCTAACTCCAAAAATAAGGCAAGCCTGCTTATTTTTTAGGGCAGGACAATGGGAAATAGGAGAAATGGTTTTCCTAACCAGAGGTGGGACACTTGCCAGTCAGAATTACCACTAGAATTAGAGTTCCTGATTCACGATGCAATATGTGTGTGTATATATATGTATGTATGTCTGTATATGTATAGAAATGCATATACTCATATATGATTATGTATTTTATATTGGATATTTATATAACATAAAAACATATACTTATTTACATAATATAAAAATTGCTTTAGTCCGAGGATGCTATAAATGCAGGTTCTCCCAGCTACAGGAATCCTGTGTTACGGGCCAACAGGACCACACAGCAGGTGTTATCTGAAAACCAACAGCCGCTCAGGCCTGCCCAGTGTGGGAGACAGGCTGGACAGGCCTGGCAAGATGTTCTGCTCCAGGGACTCCTGAGTTAGCATTTTTTAAAATAGAAAGTGCCCTGAAGGATTCTAAGAGATCATGCCCCACTCTAATCCTATTCAGTCCGCCTCTGAATATCTCTCCACATCCCCCGTTCCCTCCATCTACTCCCTGGGCCAGTCTCCCCTCACCCCAGTCCAGACCACCACCTTCTGCTTGGAGGACTCTATCAGCCTCCCCCATGGCCACATCCACACTGGGGCAGGCACCAACTTTCCAAAATGCGACTGCAAACATTTCATCCCCTACACAAAAATCTTTCAGTGAAAATCTTCACAATATTTCTAGAGGAAAACACGGAATAGATTCATCTTAAGTGAAACTTCTGTTCATTAGAAGACACCATTAAGAATGACATAACCAAGTCACAGACTGGGATTAAAAATATGTATATATGCCTGGCACGGTGGCTCACACCTGTAATCCCAGCACTGTGGGAGGCCGAGGCGAGCGGATCACGAGGTCAAGAGATCGAGACCATCCTGGCTAACATGGTGAAACCCCGTCTCTACTAAATATACAAAAAAAAATTAGCCGGGCATAGTGGCACATGCCTGTAGTCCCAGCTACTCGGGAGGCGGAGGCAGAAGAATTGCTTGAACATGGGAGGCAGAGGTTGTGGTGAGCTGAGATGGTACGACTGCACTCCAGCCTGGGCGACAGAGTGAGATTCCATCTCAAAAAAAAAAAAAGTATATACATATACATAGACATAGATACATATATGTACACGCACATACATGTATATACATGTATATACACACCTGCATGCACATACATACGTATATTTCACAAAGCACTCTATTCAGAAATATAAAGAACCATAAGTCAGTAAGAAAAAAGATAACTCAGTTTTATTTTCTTCTTTTAAGCACAAAACACTCAAATGGGCACTATATATATATACACACACACACACACACACACACACACACAGAGGAAAAAAAGGTCCATGTGACCAATAAGGACATGAAAAAAAAGCTCAACTTCACTGGTCATTGGAAAAACACAAAAATACAAGGAGGGTTAGGAGCAGTGGCTCATGCCTATAATCGCAGTACTTTGGGAGGCTGAGGCAGGCAGATCACTTGAGACCAGGAGTTCCAGACCAGGCTGGCCAACACGGTGAAACCTCAGCTTTACTAAATATACAAAAATTATCCAGGCATAGTGGTGTGAACCTGTAATCCCAGCTACTTGGGAGGCTGAGGCATGAAAATCGCTTGAACCCGGGAGGCAGAGGTTGCAGTAAGCCAAGATTGTGCCATTGCACTCCAGCCTGGGCCAGACTTGTCTCAAACAAAACAAAACAAAAGCTACATTAAAAAAAACAAAGCAAATCCAATGAGATACCATACTACTCAAGGCCAGGTGCAATGGCTCATACCTACAATCCCAGCACTTTGGGAGGCTGAGGAGAGCGGATCACTTGAGCCAGGAGTTTGAGACGATTCTAAGCAATATGGTGAGACCCTGTCTTTGCAAAAAATTAAAAAGTTAGCTAGGCATAGCGGTGCATGCTTGTAGTCTCAGCTACCCAGGAGGCTGAGGTGGATGGATTGAACCCAGAAGGTCAAGCCTGCAGTGAGCCATGATTGCGCCAGTGCACTCCAGCCTGTGTGACAGAGCAAGACCCTAATGTGCGCGCGTTCTGCGTGTGTGTGTGTGTGTGTACACTATACACCATATAGATTATAAAATACTATACTACTCCACGTCTTCCACAATGGTTAAAATTACAGACTGGCATTACCAAGTGGTGACAAGAATGTGGAACTAAAGCTGCTTTCAAGTTGGCACGAACATTTTGGAAGACTGGCAGGACAATTAAAGCTGAATCTTGGCCAGGTGCAGTAGCTCATGCCTGTAATCCCAGCACTTTGGGAGGCCGAGGCAGGTGGATCATGAGGTCAGGAGTTTGAGACCAGCCTGACCAAGATGGTGAAACTCCGTCTCTACTAAAAAAATACAAAAGTTAGCCTGGCGTGATGGCATGCACCTGTAATCCCAGCTACTCGATAGGCTGAAGCAGGAGAATCGCTTGAACCCCGGAGGCGGAGGTTGCAGTGAGCTGAGAGAGCACCACTGCACTCCCGCCTGGGTGACAGAGTGAGACTCTGTCTAAAAAAAAAAAAAAAAAAAAAAAAAAGCTGAATCTCTACTCCTAACTTAAGACCTGGCAATTCTACTCCTAGGTATCTACTCAATGGGAATGAATGCTTGGATCTACGAAAGACTTATATGTGAATGTTTGCAATAGCTTCCTCCTTAATAGTCAGAACCTGGAAACCATCAGATGTCCATCAGCACTACACTTGATACATAAATTGTGGCATATTCACATAATAGCTTACAATATAGCAATAAACAAACTGCAAAAATAGTCTCCAACATAGGATGGTTTCATTTGTGATGGTTCCACTTACAGTTGGTTTTTTTTTTTTTTTTTGAGACGAAGTTTCGCTCTTGTTACCCAGGCTGGAGTGCAATGGCGTGATCTCGGCTCACCGCAACCTCCGCCTCCTGGGTTCAGGCAATTCTCCTGCCTCAGCCTCCTGAGTAGCTGGGATTACAGGCACGCGCCACCATGCCCAGCTAATTTTTTGTATTTTTAGTAGAGACCAGGTTTCACCATGTTGACCAGGATGGTCTCGATCTCTTGACCTCGTGATCCACCCGCCTCGGCCTCCCAAAGCGCTGGGATTACAGGCTTGAGCCACCGCGCGGCCCTACAGTTTTTAAACTTTACAATAAGTGATACATTTATCAGAGTATTAAATGCAATTCCTTTTGTTTTTGTTTGTTTGTTTTGATGCTCTGTCACCAGGGTCTTGCTCTGTCGCCAGGCTGAAGTGCAGTAGTGAGATCTCTGTTCACTGCAACCTCTGCCTCCTGGGTTCAAGCGATTCTCCTGCCTCAGTCTCCTGGGTAGTTGGGATTACAGGCGAGTGCCACCACGCCCGGCTAATTTTTTTAGTTTTAGTAGACAGGGTTTCACCATAATGGTCAGGCTGGTCTCAAACTCCTAACCTCGTGATCCACCCATCTTAGCCTCCTGAAGTGCTGCAATTACAGGTGTGAGCCATCATGCCCAGCTAAATCAATCACTTTCAGAATTCCTGTCTCAAGCTCTCCTTCTAGGGAACCCAACATAAGACAGAACTTAAGGCTTTCATGTACTTGCCCTCATTCCAGACTGACACACTGCCTCCCAAATCTAAGTCTAAAAAGGAATGGCAATTCCAGTGGCCAACCCAGGGGCCAGGCTGTAAGGGGACATGTAATCCATGAGGTGCACGTGTGCACATGTGGGGAGGGTCTACCTGCTGGTTCGAAATGCCCCTTACTTTCATCTCTGCAAGATACACAGAAGGACCTAGGCTGTGCTTTTCAGCCTCCAGCAATGAAGCTCTAAAATGTGCCTCTGAGTCCGAGAGGGGGCCTTCCACTGAGTCACCCTGCCCTATCACCAGCTCTCAGCATAGCCACCTGCACACACAGGGGTTGGTTCCCAAATGAGTCCCTGTGGGCTCCTCCCCTGAAGAAGACTTACCTGGCCTCATTAGAGAAAAACACTCTACAATCTCCTAAATTCAGAAAATACCACCTGCCTTCACTTCTCCCAGATCCCAATTTTACCCAGCATAATCACCAGTTAGGAGTTCAGAGGACACTGCGGTCAGGGCATGACATGCAGGAGTGGCAGCTGGGGGCCCCAAGTCTCCTCTCTTTGTCTGTGTCCCTCTGTACAACTATTCAGAACAGGGACTTCCAGAGCCAGCCATCTCCACCTGTACTAGCTGTATGACCTTGGGCAACTCACTCTACCTCTCTGAGACTCAGCTGCCTCATCCATAAAATGGAAGCAGGCAGGCATGGTGGCTCATGCTTGTAATCCTAGCACTTTGGGAGGCTGAGGTGGGCGGGTCACAAGGTCAGGAGATCGAGACCATCCTGGCTAATATGGTGAAACCTCGCTTCTACTAAAAATACACACACAAAAATGAGCTGGGTGGGTGGCAGGTGCCCATAGTCCCAGCTACTTGGGAGGTGGAGGCAGAAGAATTGCTTGAACCCAGGAGGCGGAGGTTGCAGTGAGCCAAGATCTTGGAGACAGAGTGGGATTCCATCAAAAAAAAAAGGAAGGGTAGGTATTTCACATGCTTTTGTGAGGATTAAATGAGATCACATTATGGTCAACACCTCCATCAGTAATTGTCCTCACAACACTATTATTATTCATTATTTAAAGAGATTGGAGTTGGGTACGGTGGCTCATGCCTATAATCCCAGCACTTTGGGAGGCCAAGGCAGTGGACTGTTTGAGCTCAGGAGCTGGAGATCAGCCTGGGCAACATGGTTAAACCCTGTCTCTACACAGAATACAGAAACGATTAGCCACGCCTGGTGGCACCTGCCTATAGTCCCAACTACCAGGGAGGCAGAGGTGTGAGGATCACTTGCGACAGGGAGAGTGGGGCTGCAGTGAGTTATGACTGTCCCACTGCACTCCAGCCTGGGCAACAGAGTGAGACCCTGTCCCCTGCCAAAAAAAAAAAAAAAAAAACCTTACATACAACAGAGACTGGGATAAGGAAGGAGCCTGCAGAGTTAGGCTGCACAGCTTCTGCACAAATGCGGGAAAATATGAAGAGGGACACGGTTTGTCCACCATCCCAAGGGGATAGAGTGGATCCCTCCAACTCCATCCCAAAGGACACAAGGAAGCAAAGAGGCCTGGAGAGTGTATACAGCACATGCTCAGTATACAACAGCTGTGATGATGATACAACTCATCCTTAAAAGGAGACCAGAAGAAAATGACCTCTCTGGCCTCAGAGATCCTCATATGCTCAAAGAGGCACCTTTCTGCTAACAGCCCTGATCTCAGGCAGAAGCAGGAACAGGGAAGCCACTCCCTTGTCGAGCCTCTGACCTCATGCGCTGGTTCACCTGAGCCACAGTAACCCTCTTCCTGCTGGAGCCAGCCAGGTCCTCATCAGAGGTATGGCACCCCAGGCACCACGGGGTGCCTGGGAAGGGCCGGCTCTGTCATAGCAAATACTGCTGGACTCCACCCAAATCCTCTCAGCACTTTTGGATAACTTTCTGCAGCTGTGGGATAAATACCCCAGCTCCCTAGCACTCAGGTCAGATAATTTAATGGCATGTCCCCAGCACAGCTAAGCCCCAGCTGCCCTGAAACGGAACCTGCTCCTTATCTCGCCCTAAAGGTACACTGCCACCCAAACACATTGATGCCTTTGCATCTTGACTTAGACTCTGCTTCTGGGGAAACCCAACCTATGACCCTCCTCTTTCCTAGAATCACTGACTCACAATGGAAGGACTGGCTTGGAATACAAGTTCTCTCCTAAGGTACAGTGGCAATGGGGAGACGCACCCCATTTTGAAATGTGTCAGCAAACCACTGACCACCAAGATGATGAGGCTCTAACACTTGCACTTACTGAGTTTTAAAAAGCTGCTCTTTTACCAATGTATCCAAAAGATGTACTGACCTACTATGTGCCATCCCCCATGTTTGGTGATAGATACAGATAAATAGCATTTCCTGTTTTCATGGAGTTTAGAGTGGGTGGAGGGTGGAAAAGACAGGCAGTGGATAAGCCACGCACCAAGACGAAGATGGTAGCACGTGACAAGGGAGGTGAAGGGAACCGGGTCTGTGATGTGAATCACAGCTTGGCTGCTCGGACTGGGCGATCAGGAAGGCTTCCTGGAGGAGGTGACATTTCAGCTGAATGACTTACAGTGAGAGGGAGCCAGCCAAAGGAAAGCCATGAGGTCTAGAGTCAGAAAAGCGCTTGAGGCATGGAAGAAATAGAAATTTCTGATTGGGCCGGGCGCGGTGGCTCACGCCTCTAATCCCAGCACTTTGGGAGGCCGAGGCGGGTGGGGATCACGAAGTCAAGAGATCGAGACCATCCTGGTCAACATGGTGAAACCCCGTCTCTACTAAAAATACAAAAAATTAGCTAGGCATGGTGGCGCATGCCTGTAATCCCGGCTACTGAGGAGGCTGAGGCAGGAGAATTACCTGAACCCAGGAGGCGGAGGTTGTGGTAAGCTGAGATCGTGCCATTGACTCCAGCCTGGGTAACAAGAGCGAAACTTCATCTCAAAAAAAAAAAAAAAAGAAATTTCTGATTGCACAGCTAGAGTAGCGTGATATAGCACAGGCTGAGTTTGGAGAGAGAACAATGGACAGGGTCTGGCAGGACTCTGAGGTCACCCAGAATCACCTCCCTTGCCCTGCCTCCCAGCACTCCAATCTGCTTTCCTGAGCGGGAGAGGGTGGAGTTACCTCCTGCCTGCCAGGAGCCTCACTGAGTCTCCACTCCTGGTGGGGGGGCAGCATCTCACATGTCAGCATCCTCCATCCTGTGCATCCAGGTGAGAACTGCTGGCTTCAAGGCAGAGGGAAAGGCAGAGAGGTTGGCTTAGAGATCAGCACCTGGCAACTGCGAGTCTCAGTGGGGAGAGAGCTTTGGTTGGTAGTCAACAGTGCGAAGACTCAAATTCAAATCCTACCTCTATGAGCATGGGCAAGTTTCTTAACATCCCAAACCTCAGTTTCCCCACCTGTCAGATAGATTAAACCATCCTATCTGCTTTGAATAGTAGCTTATTTGATAAGAACATACATCAAATAGTAGCTAATTTGCTAAGAACATACATCAAAAAGTGCTTGGCAGGCTGGGCGAGGTGGCTCACGCCTGTAATCCCAGAACTTTGGAAGGCCGAGGCAGGTGGATCACCCGAGGTCAGGAGTTAAAGACCTGCCTGACCACCATGGAGAAACCCCGTCTAAAAAAAAAAAAAAGCGATTGTGTTGTTTTTGTTTTTGAGATGCGAGTCTTGCTCTGTCACCCAGGCTGGAGTGCACTGGCTCACTGCAACCCCCACCTCCCAGGTTCAACCATGCTCCTGCCTCACTCTCCCGAGCAGTTGGGACTACAGGCACCCACCACGCCTGGCTAATTTTTGGATTTTTAGTAGAGAGGGGGTTTCACCATGTTGATATTGACTAGGTTGGTCTCAAACTCCTGACCTTGAGCAATCCACCCGCCCCAGCCTCCTGAAGTGCTGGGATTACAGACATGTGCCACCGCACCTGGCTGATTTTTTGTATTTTTAGTGGAAACAGGGTTTCCTCATGTTGGTCTGGCTGCTCTCAAACTCCTGACCTCAGGAGATCCACCCGCCCTCCCGAAGTGCTGGGATTACAGGTGTGAGCCACCACACCCAGCCATTGTTCATTTATTGATTAAACTTTTAGCAGTCTCCTACTAAGTGCCAGGTGCTGTCCTAAGAGCCGGAGATACAGGTATGAACAAGACAGGGCCAGTGTTCAGTCAA